ACAGTGAAAACGTCTCGAAATTTAATTACGAATACGACATTTCTGTCACTCACTTACCTCGTAAAGATGCGACGACTTGGTGTTGTTGCAATTTCTGGAGAGACGGATCGACCAATATTTATTGTATCTTGCACGCACACACTTACGTTTCACTCACTCGAGCAACAATATGAGAAATGCTTAGTTTTTGCAATTATAAAATAAATAGTCAGTGAGTGAGTGAGTGAATGAGTGAGTGAGTAAGAGAGAGAGAGAGAGAGAGAGAGAGAGAGAGAGAGAGATGTGCGTGTGCAACGCTGCAGCTGATCGCTCAGCTGACCGCCCCGCGTGAGCCGCCGGGCGCCGCGGCGGTGCGCCGCTCCTGTCTGCCTCTTGTACTCGGCCAGTTATTAGCTGACTATTTCTTTGAATAATTCAAAACTAAGCTTCGGAGAACATTTTGGTAAGAGAAAAATCGTCTTAGAATTTAATCAGGAATACGATATTTCAGGGACACTATACCTATTTTGAATCACCCTGTATAGCACCGAAAAATTATCGACATTTGATATCTTGCAGCAAAATATTACTGTTATATTACTGTGTAATATTTCTATGTAACATATCAGTAATATTAATGTAATATTACATTGCAATATGTAATATTACTGATATATTACATGATATTATGTGCTATGTGGGTTATTACCCACACAAAAATTTCCAGATAACCTCTTATGTCAGATAAGAAAGTAGTGTATATACATACCATATACATATGTATATGATCTCGTGTTCACAATGTTAGAATTCGGTCCGAGAAATTTATAGCCAATCAACTTTTACGAAAAAGCAGCAATTTTATTAGCTACACATTGCTCAGACCGAGATTTTGGATCGAATTCTAGAATCGTCGACACCATGGCTTTACCGACAATCTGACAGATGTTTGGCAGTAACATCTCTCGAGAAAGCCTGCAACTATTTTTACACGCTATGTTGATCTTTTTTTCGTCTTCTAGAATTAGATTTTTAGACTTGCGGTAATTAGAAGTAATCTTTTTTTCTAGGCTATTAATCTTACAATTAGTTCTAATTGCACGATATTGTTCTTATATGTTGTAACGAAGCGCCACTCTTCCCCGGTACTGAATTCCGGACAGGACTCCGGCGGGTATCACTTATTACGCGAATAAATGCGGAACTTAGTCGGACGCGCGGTTCCGACTAACGGTTGGAAGAGTTGGCCTTCTTTCGGTCGATTTGACGTGCTGTGTGTCGGTCTAATTAAATCCTCCGTTCCTCTGATTTGCCGAATATGCTCAGCTCCAGGGCCGTCGAGAGGAAAGGAGGAAAAGATCGTACTTACTGGTAGTGAGGTAATCGCTTGGGAGGATTGGAAATAAATCGGACAGGTGTTTTAAAGGCAGAGAACGATAGGAGCGTGTTTTATTGAAGGATTGATACACGGAATCGAGGTAATTACAATGGGTCCGCCCTGTGATCAAAATATAAAAGAAAGGAAAAGGATTAATATTTACAGCGAGTCCGCCCTGTGGTTAAATACAGAGAAAAACAGGATATGATTAATCGGAATTAAACTCGGAATACGGAAATGAATGATTACAATACGGATTTTGATCGGAGTACGGAGATAATGAATACAATACGGAACTACAACGGAGTACGGAAAATACGGAATCACACGGAAAATAATAAGTACAGTACGGATTGATAATGGAGTACGGAAAATACAGAGTACAATACGGATCTATGACGGAGTACGGAAAATACGGAGTACAAAAGATAATGTGGCTGGTCGGATTAATCAGGAGTAACAAATCGTCGTTCGGATTTAAGACTACCGGAATCCGATTAGAATTATCCGGAGTTGTAATAAAGGTGTACAGGAAATACACAACAATCTGGATTTTACAGTACGGCACGGAAAGGACGGTATTAGATCGGAATACGGAAAATAATGCGCAACTGGAAACGGATAATATATATATGATAATTTACACTGGATAATATGGATAAGATACTGGCGACAACGGAAAAGGATGTCTGTATGGAATCCTCTGGTCGGTAAAGGAGAACAGTGACGGAATTAATTCTACGGAAGCCTACGCGCAAATTAGAATTAATTCCCACCCGAATATTCCCCCCTGAGCTCTACACCGGTCAGGAATCAGGAAAGGATCAGGTCAGGTCAGGAACACGCCCGAGCAGCGCCTCGTTATGCGTGTATTTTCCAGTAGTGATTGTACACCGAGGAGCACCCCGTTAGGTGTACGCTACTGCGGGACGGGGCCCACAACGGAGTAGAGCCTCCGCTGTGTGCTCCGGGGTGGTATATAGCCGGAGACAGGAGCACCCATTCAACTCCGGCATACACCTGCAGCG